TTGCTCCCTGGGGAGGGTCAGGTCCCCCCATTGTCATCCCCGAGGTCCCCCACGCTGATGCCGGCACTTGGTGCCTCTGGCTGCTCCAGCTGATGGCCGGTGTCCCCAGCAGCGTTCCTGCTCATCCCGGGGTGTGTGTGGAGGAACACGCTGGGAGCCCCAACACGAGTGGGGAGGACCCTCGTCTTCCACCCCGTGTAAATCACCCGCGCGGTGGGGAGAAGCAGCACAGTCCTTAGGGATGCTGATCCCGGCCCAAAGCTGCTCCGCTCGACTCCAGCTCCTCCATCATCGCCAACATCAACAAACCCCCTTTTACCACCGTCTTTTACCAAAGTTTGGTTTTGGCAAGTCTAGAAGTCAAGTATTTCCAGGATTAACCGTTCCTGGCTGCCTCCAGCCACCCCCCAGCATTGGGAAGCTTAAAACCACGAAGGAGCAAACACGGGAGATGTTTCAACAAAGCATTTTGGGATAAGGGCTGTGATTTCTCCCGGGCAGCCAGCTGCCAAGGGACACCAGCGTGCTTAGCAGTGGCCTCCCTGCCACCAAGGAGTCACCATCCCCGGGCCGTATCCCGAGCCCCACAGCCCATTTCTTCCTTGGAAAGAAAGCAACACAACTTGAAGACCCGCAGCACCCAGGAGGTGGGCGCACGTTGCTGGGGACACCCGTGCACGTTGTGGGGACCTGCTGGCACTGGGTGGCTTTGACTTCCACGGTGAAAAACCATAGGGGGAAAAAATTTTCTCTGGGAAAATCCAAAGAAATACTGCTCAGGTCTAGGCAGAATCCAGCCGGAGGTGTCAGCCCGAGCTGCAGCAAGCACCCGCAGGGATGTGTAAAGGGGCTTCTTTAAGGAGAAGGCAACTGATAACTCATAAATTTAGCGAATACAAAACAAAAAAAACCCCCCACACTTAACAGGAAAACATTTAATCAGGCGTTTGGCACGTTGCCATATCAGCAATTCAAGGGGGAACCCTTACAGCCGCAGGGATGTCCCCTGTCACCGGCCAGGTAGGAGGGACGCCGCCCAGCATCCAACTCCCCCCAGTTTTACCCAAACCTCGCACCCCGGCTCCGCTTCCTCCCCAAGCGCTGGCAAAACACAAAGCGGGAGATTCCCCGGCTCGGGAGCTGGCAGAGCCATCCCTTCGCAGAGGAGCCCCGCTGCTCGCTTTTTATTAAGGAAAAAAAAAAAAAAGAAAAAAAGAGGGACGGGCTGCCTCGCTGCGGGTTTGGGACAGAAATAGCGGCGAGGCAGGGACTGACCTAAGCCAAACCACTCTCGCAGGCAGTCGTCCCTCGGGAGAGCTCGCCCGGGCACCCCGAGACCCTCTCAGGCTTCGGGGACGGGCTCCTCCGGTGACAGCAGCAGGTCGAAGGGGACGAGGGGCCGGACGAGCAGCCGTACCTCGGGGCCGACGGGGTTCTCCCGCAGGTTGAGGCTCCGCAGCGATGCCATGGCGGCCAGCTTCTCCACCG